TGCTTAGTTGCCATCCCGACCTAAGTGTTATGTAATCCACAAGCTGAATAACATGATACAACCCCTAACTCCTACCAGATATCCGCTCACCAAGTTTTTGTGCCATGGTTACAGGCCAACCGACATAACTATTACGTAATTAGCAAGCCGCGTGTCGGGATCTCAGTCTGGATGAACAAAGCAGACCCCTGCCCCAAGTGATGGGCGCCGGCTTACCGATTATTCCCCATGTAATCTATCGATGTTGCCACGACTTCACTTTACCTCGCACTGTGGAGACTGTTCGCTTAGGCTGTGCAATCCGTCCAGGCCACCCCACCCACACATACCTCAGACTCGAAACAACCTCCCGCCCCAGGGTACGCGCCTTCATGTTCCTCCCACCCCCACTGTTTGACTGAGCCAAGCCGCCCTAAGAGCCCAGCCCATCGCGTTCCGTTGCCAACATTGTAAAGCCAACCAGTGAACCAAGTGTTAACGGACCTAATAAAAGGATGACCATAGTCATATCGTGGACGCAGGATCGCGTGACGCTTCATTACGGTGGCACCTACTATTTGCATTCCTTTTGGACGTTGTGAAGGCCGGTTGTTTCGGAACTGATCGGGTATTTGTCGACGTATGTACATATTGTATTTTGATTACTATTTGAACCGTACCGTAGTTGACGTCTCGGCTTCCTTTCTTGGTTGGACCCGGGAGATTTTACGTGTCACTTGAGCCCAACAAGCGAAGTTGTCGTTTACACAGTGCCCCAAACGACCATCCATTTCAACGTAAACCATGGTGCAATTTACCCGGAGCGGATATTGAGGTTTCATAGATTTATAACCGCCTGGGATGTGAAAATTTTACCCGGGAAGCAAAAGTAGTTGCTACGCCACTGGCTTCAGGCCTTCTCTGTGTTCTTTCTCCAAAGTAGCAGTAGCGCATAACCCAGCTAACGAGTCCGCTACTCAACCTCATCCAGTTGCATTCCTGTGGTAGCTGTCGCAAACTGGACAAGTTCCGCGATCTTCAGTAGGAGACCGATCATGAGCTGATATACTAGCACTCGCCGACTTGACGCTTCGTCGATTCCAGGCAGGGCTGGATTTAACAAGCCCCCGCTGTGAACTACAAAGACGAGGAAACCCACTCCTGCTCAAAGCAGTCCTTTTGGACCGTCGCATCGCCTCGTGGCGGTCTGCGGAGCTGACAAATCCGGATAGCAACGCCTTCTTCGTGGCGTCACACACCAATCTTGTGTCGCCTCCAGGACTGCCGTCGCCTTACCCTTGAGAAGGTTTCGCAGGGCCACTAAATTCGATCGGCCGGACTTAACTCCGACCGTCTCCGCTTCGAAGTAAGTGCTCACATCCCCTAAGAACGACTCCGGGTAGGGGATCTTTATGATCTGCCTCGACAAGTAATGGTACCAGTGGCAGGACACAAGAAGAGAGCAGTTAATTGGTGCGGCAAACATTATGAACCATATGTATCAGCTCTGACCAACAAACGTCCCACTCATCTAGGTACATTCTCCTAAAATAATGCCGCCCGCAATCCTTCTGCGTCTATTCATAGTGCGCATACATTTGCAGCTGTTAAGCGTTCCTCTTTTCTTGTGGCGTTGATATGGTCCACTGATGCTTGGTTGTTATAGCATTTCTATACTACTGAAAAAGCGCAGTAGTACATGCTTTTAGTCTACCGCATGATGTAAACGAACATTGCACTCACACAGTTAAAGTATTTGGGTTTACACTCGTTAGCTATTGCATACCTCGGTGGGTTTGTTAGCGCGCACGTATATTTATTGACGCAGTTTATCTTTGACTTCGTCAGCTTTAGCCCGACCATTTCGCGGGACAAGTTTAAAATAGCAGCTGTTTTGCAGGTTATATGCCAGTGTGCCATAACATTAATTTAAAGCGAAAACCATTCGTTATTGATCGCACCAACAGAACAGGTTAACAAGGCCTGGCCTTACGGGGCATCTGGGCATATTCGCAGAATGAGGGTAGTTTGGACAGCAGAATGTTGGGCGTTGGAGGGAGACACATTCCTAGCACGTCATGGCAACAGTAGGACTTCAGTAGCCAGTCCTGTACGCAGCCTAAAGACCTCCTCAATAGACCCACGGACGAAGCAGTCCCGTGTACATCCAAAGCATTAATCGCAACTGACAACACATAATGAATCAACGAGCCCTACACTACTTCAGTTTATACCCCGAACGTACCTCACCTCGTCGCATTTCAATTCCGTAACACAGTATCGCTCTCTTCACCAGGCAACCATAGGAAACAGCTGTGTTGGAGCGATAAGGTTCACATCTGCGTAGTCTAAATAAACATGGATTTTGTATACAGCAATTGCTTAACGGCACTAAATGCTGCACAATTTGTCTCCCACCCATTAGTCCTCGTAGATTCTGTATGATTCACATTGAGTTCAGCAGTCCTGATTTTTCCACGTCATTTTGCACCCACCACAGCGTTTGCGTGTCACTACTCATAACCATTAGTTGAGTCATACCAAGATAGGTAGAAGGCATGTGGAAACGCCAACGGCCAGAGTTGTCCCGGTCAAAGCTGCAAGTAGGCAACCCAGATCATACAGGATTGCATCTCAGAAACACGGTCAATGTGGAACTACCTTGGAATCAAAGAGAAAAGTCGATGAGAACTAAGATAAGAGAGGTTGAGTGGCACACGATTAGTGGAAGTTGGCCTGAGGTGGTAAAGAAAACAACGAAAAACCAATCGAAATTCCAGTTATCAAAAATCGACACATTTGGTTATAACTTGAACCAGCGAATTCCGTTTGTTGTCAGGTTTTGGAGCGCCCACTGTGTGTAGACTGCGATGCGCAATCTCACTCGTAGTAACGGTTAACTTTGTGTGGTAGTAGTTGGTAGTTTGAGCGAAGGTGACCGATGAAGTGTAAATAGACAGGATTGCAATCAGCCGCTACCGACACAGACTGATCACGCGTTGACGATCCAGAGAAAGAAAACAGGATAAGCACATCTTACAAGAACCAAAGCACAGCCTTATCACAGACAACGGCAAAGCGGATTGGCTGGAACGGCCAAGAGCGCTGGCCAAACAAAGGGGGACCTGAGCGCATGACTTAAGGTGAACATGGCAGATATAGTTGGGGCAAACGAAACCTAACGACCTATGAACTTAGACCCACAGAAGATGCGAAAATGGAGTGGCCAATGTAGAACCGTCGCAATCATATAGCATCCATGTATATACGGTTATTTCCTTTGTTCTGATCGCCGCTCAGATTTTATTTTGACTTTTGCGGGGCTGACCGACAGTGCGAAGTCAATTGTAGCCATTTCGAGCAGAGGTACCACATCCAAAGACTTTCAGAGCTGATCTATCCAAACACTGTACCACAAGAGTTTCGCCCTTGTTTGAACTCGTTAGGTAGAGACAGCGCATGAGCTGGGTGTGTACCCTTGCAGAAAGTGATTGCCCACATAAGCTCCGACCATTGACTTCCGCCAAAAGTGGTTGATACAATGATTGGAGTTTGATTGTTGAGTTTTAGGGTACCCGTTGTTTGACTAGGTGGCGACATGTGATCCATAGTAGTTTACACGTTTTGTACTTGGAAGATTTTGATCGAAGTACAGCATGTGTTCTGTTTCGACCAGTGGCCGAAAGAATAAGACGTCTAGCCTGCAGTCCAAAGACCACCAGCTCGAATCTGCTTTGGTGCGGGCGACCTCGTAATATCAGTATCCATAGTCCGCCAGTGACAGCGCATTGCTGACGGCTCTCCCTTTCTTTCCTCCTACATAGCCACAGGTATGCATAAGTACTGTTCAGCTTAGCGACCTCACCTAGCGGGTAATATCCGTACCAAATAATTTGAACTTGCAAAGCAGAGCCTTGACCAGACAAAAGCATTTGATGTACCAATTGAGCCCCATACTGTGGGCGACTGCTGCCCAAAATGCTGGGCGAGGAATTACAATGATCATGCATCGAAGGTGCACAAAAAGAGAGGCTGAGTCGCTCTGCTAATTAACATCTTGATGGAAATGGAATCAAGAGTCATCAGTCAACTACCAACGCCGTCTACCCAACATATAGTCTAGTTGCGTTATGTCCGTGCAAAAAGCTCTAGTGTAATGTGTTATTCATGGTCTCTCTCCGTTCATGGATCAAAGTTCTTGCTAGCGTAATCAAGAACCGGTTGATCACACAGAGTTTACTTACGTAAACCACAGCTTGCGAAAATAGTTTGCACACTTAGTCTTCGATGGCTCCACAGTTGTGTTTCTGATCTCGTTCTGGGATGACGGGAAACCCGATACAGCCCACATCAGCGGAGGCCGTGACTCTCTTGAAGCCATTTTCATGTCACCGAGCACTGGACCTCTGGGGAGCCTGTCACTTCTTTAACATCTGCATAGTATTTACGCAAAACTCTTAGGCGGTATAATGACAAAGTTTGAGTCCCGACGCTATCTGATGCACCTCAGCATTCAAGATGTCTCCGCCAAGACCTAAATGAACCTGCTATAGGAATATCTTCTAGAAGAAAGAAAGGCGTTAGCAGTACGCCGGTACGCAGCACTGATGTTTCGCGCGCAACCACCACCGGTCGCACTTGGGATAAGGATACTGTGAGGGTCGCCCTGCCCCTGCGAGGGGTCGAACCCGCGCCGTCATATTACAAGACAACCTTGTTGCCTTTAGGCTACGGGCCTGCAGGAGTATCACTGCGTGAACAAGTTTTCATCAACAAACACCTTCGAAGCGCCGCTGTCGAACAGAGCGGCGTCCCGAAGATCGTGGAATTTCAGGATAGCAGCGGTAGCGCCTATTGCCCATGAGGAAAGACGAACGTGAATTCTGACAACGATAAGGGTCGGTTCGGTGATCAAAACGTGTCCACCAGGGTTTTCCACGCAGTGTATTGACAATGCGGTGCCAGTCGATTGAATTTCGCGAGCCGATTTAAATCTGAACGAGATACGAATCGCTGGCCGTAAACTGGAATTTCTGAGAATTCAATATTAAAAGGAATACCACCGTGGTTAGCAAACGCGGCGGAACACACCCACAGAATTGATGTCAAAAACAACAATGAGTCGAAAATATGGGAAAGATCATTGAAAAAACAAATGTGCATTAAAAATATGCAAATTGAAATCAGCACTCGGTGTTCGGTCACTGAACGCAATGAGAGTGGTCTAATCGGCTTTGAAGAAATATAAAAATAAAGCAAAACCACTTGACAAAGTTGGATAACGAAAGAGACTTCATGCAAAAAAACGGTGGGAATATTGCAAGTGTATGTCCAACGAATCAATAAGCGATGGGGACTGCTATTTACAAGGGATGTGCGAACTATCTCTTTAACATGGCACAGACGCGATGTACTAGGGTATCCAAAGTGATCACATTCACGGGGAAATCGCATAAAGCCCGTGACAGGCGGATGGCTTCTATCCAAAGATCGGCGGAATGAAGGTGTTTCACGCAATGGGAACACAAAAGCTGAGCCTGCGTTGATGATTTGTGCTGGGACACAAAGCATTCGACAGTTTGGAAGATATGAGTGAAAAGCGTAGGGCATGGATCCAACGCAAAGGCAGAGGTTTTGTCTGTTTTAACCAATGACACCCAAACCGGTCCATGAAGACAAGTAAAACAGCGGCAAGCGTCTGGGTCGATGAGGGCAATCACAGAAGGCGAGCATATTGCAACCACAGGCAACGCTTCTAGCACAACATTGATGTCCTGCTGAAAAAGACAAGCGCTGAGCACAGTAGCTTGCAACGAAATTGGCCACTGAGTTGAGGAAGAATGGAGACATTTTCTCAAATGTCGAATAGACGCAAGCGCAAGCCCTCTGGGAGGAGGTAACCCATAATGAACCCACTGCTCTAAAAGCAGTGTGGATGTGAGAAAGCCGTCTGGGTCAGGGAGTAGTTTGGCATGAAGGGTGAACTGGAACCAAAGTTCCCACAGGACAGTTGCAGGATCGGTGGAGTTTGAGGAAGAAGTCAGTTGAGAATTCTGTGAAAATTCATCTGAAAAGAACATAAGGAGGCGGTGAAGAATAAAAGTGCAGGGAGAATATAGGTAACATATAGTTTCACCACTTGTCCACAAGCCAGATGAGCACTAGGTACACAGTGCAGCAAGAAAACCGTTATTAGGTGGAAAAGCATGGCTGTCAGAGCTGCTTCACTTCAAAATCGAGGACATTATCGAAAGCAACCTGTGCAGCTATTTAGGAGCCCTGAGGTAGTTTAGTGACGAGTTAATAAGCAGTGAAAAGTGAAACACTATCGAAAGTGCTGAACAGCGTGAGGGATGATGACACAGCTGCTCTCACAAAAAAGGGCAGAAGAGTCACAAATGTATGCACAATAGAAAACAAGTAATTAGAAGAAACGAGTCCCAAGTTGGAGTCTGTCAAGAGTTACGAGTGTCACAACCGAAATGATCCTCATATTGTAAACGATTTCTTAACGTATTCAGAGACACTAGGCGAGGTCGGTACAGGGTATGAAGGAATATGCGAGACAGTAGGGAGACAGCACCTCAACGACTGTAATTCAGAATGCAAATACCCGGACTACCCTTTCGATGGGAACACGGGTTCTAGAGAAGCAGAACGATATTGCCAACAAAGAAGTAACTGTAGGTCGAAAGAGGGAAACTAAGTAAAGTTTGTGTGCGTGCGGGATGTTGAAAAACAGGTGTATTTTGACCGGAGGAAAGCATGATGCAGGCAGAGATGGCAGTAGTAGACCGAGATATCGCACTGATGTTTCGTCATCGCATAACCACCAGGTGTTGCACGAAGTCTAGAATGCTATGAAGTCGCCGACTATTACACAGGTTTAACCAGTCCAGTCCGAATGCCCAAAACATTCTGTAACTGATAGTTTACAAGGAGAAAAGTATACCAAAAGAGTGGATGAGAAGCGCGATCCCTTGGTGATAGTCCAAACGCGCATTGCAAGGAACACGAGGACGAAGAGTGTGGCTTGTGGGTATGA